TTGGTTTTGTTTCACTATTTTTATTTAATATTTAATGCTCTAACTGATTTTACAGTATAACTCTTTGATAATGGCATAACAGCCGAAACATATGTTAGAGGTTTCAATATTAAATAAAAAAATAGTGAAACAAAACCAAGTGCTTTTATTTCATGAATTATTTTGAATAATGTTTCACCAAGAGCTAAGCCAAGTTACAATTAATATCATTCCCCTGTAAACTTGCATTGCGAACATGAAATAACTGATCCTAAACAATAAAAATGAAAACACTAAATTGCGTATGTATGAATGGCCTGATAAGTCCGAGATGACAAATCTGGAAAATAAACAAAAAGAAATATATGAGCGACCTATTAAACCACCAATAAATGAATAAATGATTTATATTACAATCTCTTCCGGATCACATGCATTAAGGGTCAACTCGTATCATATCCTAAAGCAGAGTATTTATCTGAACACCGTGTATATTGTAGGTAAGTACATTTGCACAAACGTATAAAAGAGCCGTGGGTAGACCCAGTTATACTTGTGTGGGTACCCAAACAACACATACGTATGTTCTCACAATACATACACGTACGTACATGTGCAGTTATCGAATCTAAGTAATCTGAGCAAGGCATGCATATATTCCATGCACCTAGATAAGTTACTTTATTTATTATGGCCTTATGCAAATGGTTCCACTACGCGAGTAAAAATACAGGAATGGCTGCTGCTGCTTACTGATATCAGCGCATATTTCGCGGTCGAACGTAAATAAAATTTAATCCCAGATGCTGTGCACCGATTACCAACAAATTCGAGAAAGTCGAGTAACGTTATGTGCACATAGAAAACGACCGTTAGATATGTACCTTTTGCATGCCCGTTTCGTAAAACTACGGTCAAAATAACGAAAATTGCTCTAGTGATTTTCTATTTTAGTTTCATTAATGATACAGTTTTTCAGTCAAGTGCTTGTTAATATATTGTAACACATTATGTTGTGTTAAGTAGCGTTAATTTTTCTAAAATTAGGTGAAAACTGCATCAAAATTGGTTAAAAGATACGCGAGTTATCCCTTCCTAAAGTTTTCTTGTTAGTAAAATTTAGGAACATCTTTATTAATTTTTTATTTAGGAGATTCCCATGAGTGCTCGTAGATTGAACTTGACCTACTTTTGAACGATTTGCAAAATGGCCGCTAATGTAATAGCCAATCAGGTGCATGCAACGTGCTTATAACAATAAAACCTACATATTTAAGTTAGTCACTCTCGATGCTTCGGTAGATGTACTTCGTTGCATCAGATTTTTAATTATAATCACGTAAAAACTTGTCATTCATTAAAATTCGTTGTTTCGTTGATAGTTAAATGTCTTACCATTAAAAGTAAATGAGTTATGTTACAAATGTTTTAAATTTTCTTAATTACAGGTATCTATTAATTTAAGATTATAAAATTTTATGATTGCTAAAGTAACTTATAATCTGTACAGGAACTTTTAGGAATAGATAATAATGTGAATTTTGGTACACACCGTATGTACATTTTTTAACATATCTAATTTGCTATTATAATAATTTTATT